TTTAAGTTGCCCCAGCGGTCACAGAGCTAGTCTGTAGTGCCTGCAGGACTCAGGTCACCCTCGAGCCATTCCCCATGTTACCTCCCCCTCAGGTGGTCAGTACTGTGCTAAGTGCTGTAGAGGGTGGAGTGAGAGTCATTCAGTCTTTATTCTGAAGAACTTAAGTTAGGAGGAAAACACTAAACAAATAATTACAGCATGATGTGGTAAGCCCCCAAATGTTACAGAATTGTGGGTAAGGAAAATGTCGATCCTGCCTAGAAGAGCCAACAAAGGGGGCGATATTTCTACTGGATCTTGAGAGATAAGTAGGAATCAGTCAAAGCAAAGGACAAAGGAATTTCTAGGCAAAAGAAAAAGCATGTCTGAAAGATGGAGGGGAGAAAGACCATGGTATAATAAAAGAATGGCAAGTAGGTCACTCTGGCTAGAATATAGAGAATGAAGGAGAAACAGAAGGAAGTACAGTGCGTGATGCATAATTTGAGAGGAGTAGGGTAAACAGAAAAGTGACGCCAGAATGTCCCTTTGTGCTAGATTGCCTCATTGGACACTAAGTGGCGCTGTTGGCTCAGGTTAGGTTGGTTGCTGAAGATGGGTGATAAGTGTCTTGATGGAGGGGACAGTGTGCAATTAGCCATCTAAACATACACGGTATTTAGAAGCTGTGGGGCCTTAGCTTGGGGTGAAGGTGCTGCAGACTGGGACTGGGTCCTCAACTCTCCGTGCCTTCCTCACCTTAGAACATTCCAATTCCAACCCTGAAGGAATTTGCAAAGGCTCTGGAGACCAATACCCACGTGAAAAAGTTCAGCCTGGCCGCAACCCGCAGCAATGACCCTGTGGCGATTGTAAGTAAAATCCTTAGAAATACAACATGAAACATTTAATTTATTAGAATTTATTTTTAATTTGTTTTTTCAATTCACAATTTTTAGATCTGGTATTTTATTTTCCATATAGTTAATAAACAAAATTAGTTACAATGAGGCAGTAAAACGAGAGCTCAAGAGTCAGGCACTCTGAATTCATTGGAATGTTGTTCAAACTACACTTTTAGGAGAAAGAAACAAGACTAGATTAGGCATCTAGCTAAATACAGATTTAGATTTTGTGCTGTGGTTAGTACAAATTTTCTGAAACTTTGGCATCTATAATAACATTCTGTCATAGTCATTGGCTATTATGAGACCCCCCCAAGCCCTACAGGAACTTGGCCAACATTAAAAAATATTAATGTATATTTCATTTTAATCTTTGAAATAGATTAATATGTCTCAAAAATATTTTAAACAACCAAATCTTGAAACATTCTTTGTTTGATACTATTAACCAGAATATGAAAAAAATAACCAACCAGAAGCCCTATTCCTTCTCTGCACATTAGATAATTCAAGTAAATAAGGAAGCTCCTGGACCCAAATAAATACAATTACCATTGCTGTCATCAGTGATAATCCTTCTATTAATAGCTAACATTTCTTGAGCGATCAGTAAATACCAGTGCTGATCTCTGGGCTTTACACGTGTCACCTCACCTAATCCTCACTGTAACACAGTGAGGTGTGTACTGTTATTAGTTCTTTCCCACTTTAATAAATGAGCAGTCTGAGGCTCAGAGGGGTTAAGTAACTTTTCCAAAGTAACGCAACCAGCAAGTGGCAGAGCCAGGATTCACCACCAGGCCTTTCTGGTTCCACAACCCCGGATTCCTGACTACCAAGCTATGCTATATTTTATACACAGCGCCTCACTGTCATAACGTTTGCTAAAATATGCCAATTACCAGAAGGCTGAGCATGAGCCTGTGGTTCTACAGCATCTGATGCTCAGCACTTGAATCAAGCTAGAAAAATAAAAGTGTTCTTGACTTGATGATGTGACTTAAGTAACATGTCTGTCGGAAGATCTAAAATAGCATTAAAACCGGGCAACGTGAGAGTAACGACTGCCCATCACGGGTGCTGGCACAGGGTAGATGTTTGAAAAATATCTGTTAAATGAATAAATGAACTTGCCCTCCAGTCTCTCAGCAATAGAGACTATTTCCATGATGATGACGGCAAACTTGGAATAAACATTCATGTAAAAAAGGGACTAAGCTACAAAACTGACGTGTTTTTCCAGCAGTTATTACATATCTAAATTTGTAGGTTGAAAGCAGTTTTAATTTGAAACCTATCATTAAAATAGAAAAAGAGCAGAACTCGATCATTGGTAAGGTGAAATTAGCAATTTAAGGGTTCTTATCTGTGTATGATCTCTATCCTTTAGTAGACTTGTTTTCAACAAACCAAAGATATTTGCAGTATATTTTGTATGTAAGTAACTAAAGGGATAATAAAGAAATAATTTGTTATTTCTGTTTAATATATTATTTACAGTAAAATGGCAAGGATGTGAGCAGTTTATAGTTCATTGTCAACACTACTGGAAAATAATCTAACTTCTGCTCTAGATCAAATAGATAACTTGCTAAACAGACTGAATAAATTCAAAATATAATTATCTCTTTGGTACTGTTTTTCATCCAACAGTTATGTATTGAATGCATGCCATGTGACAAGCACACCGTACAACTGCAAGGAATAATTGCCATCCTTTAGGGAGAGGAAAGCAAAGCTTCTTTCAGCCTTATGCCTGGATGGCTTCACATGGTCTAGCCCTCACCTGGCTGCCCCCAGATGGTTCCCCTTTCACCTATGCCATAGTCAGGAAAGACCTTTTCTTAGCTTGGAAGTTGGTTGATTACCCCACAGGCAAAAGAGATATTAAGACTGTGACTATGGCTGAACAACTCACTGTTAAGAATTACAAATCAGCATTAAAGCAAGAGCTTCATAAGGGGAGGGTATAGCTCAATGGTAGAGTGCATGCTTAGCATGCACAAGGTCATGGGTTTGATCCCCAGTACCTCTGTTAAATAAAAAAATAATAATAATAAATAAGTAAACCTAATTACCCCTCCCCCCCAAAAAAGTAAAGCAAGAGCTTCAAGAGACTTTTCTATATATGTTTCAGAAACAAATTCAACAAAGTACTTGTGGGATTATTGTGAATGTAAACAAATCATGTGTATGTGAGATAACATTATCCCCATTTTACAGATGTGACAACTGAGTCTCAGAGTTTGAGTCACTTAACTAAGCGTACATAACATGTGGCCAAGCTAGGAAGCGAATTCAGCCTGTAAAATTCTGTAGTTTGACCTGTAATCAAATTATTGTATGGTAAATTTTCAGTTTACCATGCCCCAGGCACTTCCATATAACCATGTCTGTGGCAGGGAATATTCATGAAACTTGCCGCACTGAATGCCGATGTAGAGAAAAGGCCCAAATGTATTTTTTTAAATGTTGTTATTATTAGCAGTGATGCCACATACAAATCAAAAGTTTAGGACAGCACTGTCCAATAGAAGTAAAATGAGAGCCACAAATGTAAGGCACATGTGTAATTTTAAATCCCCCAGAAGCCACATTAAAAAAAAGAACAGAAAGAAATGGGTGACATTAAATTTAATAATACATTTTCTTTAAACCAGCATACTGAAATAGTATTATTTCAAAACATCAATGTGAAAATGTAGTGAGGTCTTTTACAGTATTTTTCTTGTACTACATCTTTGAAATCCAAAGCGTGCTTTTCATTTACAGCATGTGTCGATTCAGAACAGGCACTTTTCTGAATTGTGCACCGTGGCTACTGCTGGGAGAGTACAGGTTTGGGCAATGCAGGAAACTGCATTTCCCCCCAATACTGTAAAGTACGGACAGCAAAACCTTCTCTTTGAAAATGTTTTTCTACTCTAATTGTTTTCTATAACCTTTAAGAAATCTTGTCTTTGCTTTACTAATGTTCTTATCCCCAGCACATGTAATAGGTGCTCAAATGTTTACTGAACTGAAGTGAACCTGGGCCTCCAGCCCAGGGTTATGTTTGGCTGGGTCTCTCCTTGTTTTGTTCAGTATGAGAAAAGTGTTTTTGCAAGTTGAAAAGAAATTGGCAAGATCCCGGCTACTTGCCAAGAGGTCCCGCAACTTTTTTTTATAAAGGCCTAATTGCTCTGACATTTTGTTATTCTAGTAATGGAAGTAAATCCCAAAGCTTGGGGCGTCCACAAGGAAAGACCTGATGCCTTCCCTTCTGGGGCTCTAATTAAAATGTGTGCATTTAATTCTAACTGAAGACCTAGCACTGAATAAATGTATTTTTAATTTACATGGTGCATGATAACATCAGTGCAAATCCTTGAGCCTTTCTTGTAGTTCAAGTAACTGCTTGCGTACTACACCAGATTATTCTTCTAGTCCGGTGGTTCTCAACTCAGAGCAATTTTGTCCTCCCAGGGACACTTGGCAGTGTCTGGAGATATTTTTGGTTGTCATGGTGGGGAGGGGTACTGTTGGCATTTAGTGGGTCTCAGAGGCTGCTGAACCTTCTGCAGGACACAGGACAACCTCCCACAACAAAGAATTATTTGGCTTCAAATGTCAATGGTGCTGAGGTTGGAAATCCTGTTCTTGTCTCACGTTGGTTTCCTTCTCCTCTTCCTTCTTGTCTTTTCCACCGTCAAAGCAATTAAAATAGTCCAGAAGTTCCTTGTTCTACTCCCCAGAGCAATCACTAGTCGTGGTTTGTTTTTTCATTCTTCTAGTTGTTGTCTGTACAACTTTAAATAAGGAGACTGTTGAGCCTGGCTGAATATTAGTCACCTAGAGAGCTTTTGAGAAATGCAGCTGCGAGTCAACTATACTGTAATAACAAAAAAACAAACAAAAGCAGCCATCCAGGCCACAGTCTGAGATTCTGATTTAATTCATCTGGGGTGGAGGCTAAGCATTGGTATGTTTTTTAAAGCTTCCAGGTCACTCTGATATACAACCATTCTGCCTTCTATCCCTCCTTCCTCTTTATCTTTGAATGGTAGTTAGTCTATCATATCACACATTTGAGCTTTATACATTTTATGTCATCATATTCTGTTGTGCATATAGCCTAACTCCAAAAAGTTAAAACTTACCACCAGCATTTACAATTATCTGACTGTACAAATACATAAATCTCTGTTCTTGTGGGCCTTACAGTCTGGTGACTCATGCTCGTCTTGTCCTTGTTCTTTTGTAAGTTTTTCTTCCTAGATACTTTTAGGACTCTCTCTCTTTTCCTTTGGAGTTCTGAAATTTCACTTGTATGTGCCCACTTAGGAGTCTTTTGTATTTATTCTACTGAGCATCCAGTGGGTTCTTTCAGATAAAGACTCGTGGCTTTCTTCAACCCTGGGAGATTTTCCCCTGTTCATTTCTGTTGTCTTTTTGCTGCTGTTTTTTTTTTTTTTTGGTCCTTCTGAAACTCCTGTTAGATGAATGCTGAGCTGCTCTGTCTTTCCTCCATGTCTCCTAACATTTCTCTTGTATCTTCTCTTTGTCTTTTCCTCTACATTTTTGAAAACATCTTCAGCTTCAGCTTCTAGATTACCAACTTGGTCTGCAGCCACATTCATTTTATAATTCTAGATTTTTAATGCAGTATTTCAAAATTTCAAGGCATTTTCTTGTTCTTTGTCCTCTTTTTAAACATATATATATATATATAAATATATATATATATATATATATAATAGCCAGTATTTATTTATTTTATGGCTTTTCTTTTTCTTTCTTTCTTTTTTTTTTTTTTTGAGATGGGGTGGGACAGAGAGAAAGAATAATATTTAGAAGTTTTGCATATTTCTGTTCCCTGAGTGATCTTGGTTCCGTAAGTGGCATGTTATCCTGTTTGGTCAACTTGGTTTTTCTCTTTCATGATGTTGGTTTTCCTGATATGTCTGGCAATCATTGGTTGCCTGTTCATATTTCCAAATAGAGAACAAAATAGATTTGTGTAAACCAGGACCATCTCCCCCTCTGCAGTTATGTGGATCTGGTTCACCGATAGATCTCTCCCTTAAAAGGGAGGCCCCTTTATATTTCTCCATTTGTTACCAACGGACAGGCTATGTATTTTATTTATCAATTATTGACTCTGCCCCTCCTGCTCAAATATAAGCTCCCTAGAACAGGGATTTTTGTTTTCTCTACTGCTAGCACACAATAGAAGCCTGATAGTCTTTTTTCAGTAAATGATTGAATGAATGAATGGGTGGTTTTGTAAGGAGGCAGGTGAACTGTTGGGCAGCCTTCCCTGTAGTGTGTGCAGTGGAGGCCCACAGGCAACCTAGGAGTCCTCCGCAACTGCTCCACTTAGGAGGGCTTTGCTCTGGGACGGGTGCATTTCAGTATATTTCCTTCCTGGACATCGTCGCACTGCATCTGGTGGAAGGTCTGGAGATGCCTCAGTTTCTGCACCGCTCTCTCAGGACCTAGCACCCTCAGTAGAGGCTCATCCTGGGAGATTTCTCCCTGATAGTTGTGCTGGGAGTTGCTCTCTTTCAGGGAAACTACAAGGAGGGGTGCTGTGCCCTCCATCTGCTCTAGCAAAACTGTGTGTTCCTAAGGCAGTTCTGTAATCAAACGCCCTTACCAAGTCTTACCTCTGGCGTCTCAGGCAATCATGTGCTAATTTCTCCTCCAGTCTTTCTATTTTTTGTATTTTAGCAATGTTCCAAAATAATGGCCCTCTTTTTTTGTTTTCTTGCACTGTGAGAGTTCCAGGCACTTAAAAATTATGTCTTTTCTTCATGACAGTGGAAAACTTTGGGAGTAAGGAGAGCAGACAGGTATGTGTGTGCAGTCTGCTGTCTGGAACTGAGTCTTCAGTGGCTCTGCCACTCTGAGGGGTGATTTTGTTCTTAAAGTTATCTTTGAAAAATCCTGATTTACAGATGACCTGAAATAATAGGACTAAATTAGTAGTGCCCAAATGCTAGTCAGTGATAAAATTTTCTATACATTTATATTAAAAGGGAAAAAATGAAATAATTCTGAGATTATGTCCTTTCTACATTTTTTATAATGTTAAAATGCCTTTTCTTTAAAAAATGACAATGATAACAGATGGTAGTGGGTTTTTAAAAAATGTCCTTACTTAATAAAACAAAGTTTTATTTTATATCAGTGTATATTCTTTTTCATTATATGTTATTACAAGCTATTGAATATAATTCCCTGTGCTATACAGTAGGACCTTGTGGTTTATTAAACTAAACAATTTTTATTGCAGTTTTCTTATTTTTGTTACTTGGTGATGAAAGTATGATTTAACTAAGATTTTCCTTAAGTACTGTAAAAAATATCTATTTAAGGTAGGGGTGGGGAGTTGAGTAAATAAATCTTTGGAAACCCTAATGGTTATTTCTTTTTTACATAATAAGGCTTTTGCAGATATGCTAAAAGTAAACAAGACCTTGAAAAGTCTAAACATAGAATCCAATTTTATCACTGGTGCTGGGATCCTGGCCCTTGTAGAGGCACTAAAAGAAAATGACACCCTGACAGAGATCAAGATCGACAACCAGGTGAGCTAACTCCCCAGGGTGCGTGTGAGGAGGAGGAATGCCGCAGTGAAGGGAGCTGAAAGACCCAGTTCTGTGACTTGATGTGATGTTCTGGTTTTCCGGTGAACTGGGACTGCTTCTAGCCTGTGGAGGGTGTGTGGGAGACCATATTAATGATTAAATGGTACACCGTGGGGCAGCCTGAGACAGAAAGCGTCCGCTCTCCCCCAGCCCTGGGCTCCTCAGGCAGCAGAGGAGAAAGAGAGGAGGTGGGGGCAGAAGCGTCGACAGCTGCTTTTTTTTCAGCCTTCATCATCCTTGCCTCTTAGCACGAATCTCAGCCCAGTCCTGCCCCAGCCGTGCTGCTGCCTCTCACTGGAACTGTGAAAAAAGCAGCGTGGCCATGCCCAGAAACAGGCTCCTTGTCCCTGGTTGGAGGCTGCCAGAGCCGAAAGAGCAGTCCCAGGTCCTGCTGTCTGGTGCTGGCCACAGAACCTGTTTAAAGGAATCAGGGTTCTAGAAGATGGTCTGGCTTAGAGTCCACACCCACAGTGTGATCACAATCTCAGCCTCTGTTGCAGCATCTCTCCAGGTCCCACCAACAGCCAAAGTGGGCTGCTTTTCCTGAAGTCACCACCCCCTGTGCCCTGAAGACCCCCTTTCCCAGCATCAGCCCACAGTGTCTCTAGAGTTGCTCTGCTGACTTCAGCTGGTTCCTGCCACAGACAGCAGCTCTCAGTTCTCAGCATGATGCTGTGCCTTGCCCCTTTGGCTACAGGGACGTATCTGTAATGGGATTCAGTGAATTGGAGAGGTCTAGACACTGTATAGTTGGAATAAAGGATCCTGGAATGGATCAGAAGGAAGAGAAAGCAAGGAGACTTGTATTGTGGGCATACCCTGTGGGGTGATGGGAGGTGCAGTGTAGGGAGGACCTGTTGAGAGTGCCCCCCGCCTGTCTGGGAAATGCCCTGGTCTGGAACCTCCAAGGTCTGATAAAGCCCCAGGATGCCACCCGAGACTTTTGCCTGAGCCTGGAGAACCCCAACAGATCCCATGAATAGCTCTACTCTCCTTTTTTTTTGGCTAACCCGGACAAATGGGCTGTCTCAGTGCATGCAGGTCCTCTACCCCTAGACCCCTCCTGAGGCTTGTTACCAGGGAAGCAGGGAAGCCCCACCAGGTACTCCCTCACTCTCACCCTCCCCAGAAGGGATGCATTATCAAAACAGCTTGCCCTGTACAGAGGTGTGGAGTGAGTCCCCAGAAATGTGCATGTGGGGATGCCTACACTCGGGAAGCTCGCTCCTGTGTATCCTAGTGTGTCCAGCTGCTAGTAAATTAAGAAAGAGGCATCAGGAAGTGAGAGAGTAGGTTAACAAGTTAGAGGGAAATAAGGAGTGAAAAGAAGTGAACCCTCAGGGATATATATCAAATAGACTGATATCAGGAAGCAGTTAAGAGGGCTCTTAGTGAGTTTTTCCAGGAGAGCTAAGACAGAAGTGGATTCCTTATTTGCAAGTATGTTTAACTTTTTGTGTTGGTTTAGGCTGTTGTGAAACCCCATATCTGAAATAATGTTCCAGATACTCTGTTTCCAGTTCCTTGTAAGATACTACCTAGAGCTGCCAGATAAAATACGGTTAAATTTGAATTTCAGATAAACAATGAACAATTTTTAGTACAGGTATGTCCCAAATAGGACACACTTGTGCTAAAAATTATTATTTATTGAAATTCAAATTTAGCCATATGTCCTGTATTTTTAGTTGCTAAACCTAGCAATCTTATACTTAGTAAGTAAGCGAAAATCCTGAAAATTTAGAATAGAGTAGCTTTTTAGAATGCACGTGAAGAAGACCCTGAAATGCAAAGTCTGAACTTGTTCTCTTAAATGCCCTTTGAATCATCGTCTTCCCCCTTCTCAGTCATCTAGGAATGGATTTGTATAATTTTCAACTTTCATTCTCCAGTATGCCTCTAAAATAGCTTCTCTTATGACAAGAGAAAGGATTAAGTTCTAGAGCAGCTGCAGAAAGTATTGGCTTTATTCCAAGAATGAGGAAATTCAGAGTTAAAACTTGTCTTCCATCCAGATTTTGTTGATTGACTTATACACTGTTAGAAGTGGACCTCAGTTTCCTCATCTGTGTAATGAAGGATCTGAAATAAAATCAGCCCTGAGAGTTTCCCCAGGCAGGACCAGCAGCTGAGACCAATTTAACATCACTGCAGAGGCAGCTGCACCAAAATGAAGGCCTGCTGAGAATCCACGACCGGGGCTCAGCTCCAGGTCAACAAGTGATGATTTAATCAGGTGCCTCTGTGAGCTGAACAGTCAGTGATGCACATTAATGAAACCGATGGGTAACTGCTCAATAAATTTGAGTAGAGAAAAAAGGTAACATGAAAAGGTGATCTGGAGAAATATATGCTGAAACTTTGTTTCTTTTTCTTTGTATTTAGTGACTTGAAATAAAAAAGAGACACATACCCAAATTATAAGAAATTCTGGTGCCCATTGGACACTCAGGCTGAGAAAGATGCTCTATGCTCTATTACTCTCTCCTCTTCCTTTATATGCTATCCTCCCAATATCATTTTCTTCAGCTCCTACATCGTTTATATCACCACAGCATGCCCAGCCTATATGTCACCCAAATCTAGGACTCCAGATGCCTAAGATTTGCAAGAGGAAATAAAAGGGCTTTCTGTCCTCCCTCTCAGTCAGCTACATCCACTTTGAGCTCCTTCTGCCTTTGGAGAGCACCTTTGGCCCACCACAGGGGCATAAGCCATAACTGGGGCAGCCCTGACCTAAGCTCAGGTCTGTCCTTCTTGTGGTCCTGCTCTTCTAAACTGTGTGATGAGCTAAAGTTTCTCATGAGGCTTTAAGGTCAGTATCTTTTACTCTCCCTCCCACAGATCAGCATTGCTGAGAACACTAACCTCTACACTGTGGATACCCAGAATTGCAATTGTCTGACTGGACATACCACATTTTGTTCATTTCTCAGAGAGAGACTCACTTGACAGGTTGCTGGATAGAAAGAAGAAAGAGAGCAGAGTGAAGCCTTAGAACTTGCCTAGGACACAAAAATTCCTCCATAAACTTTTCTTCTTCATCTACTCAATACTTAAATTTTCCAGATTTGAAAGGTACATGTATATTTTTAATCTGTTACCAGTCAATCAAAATTGCATGATACCAGCACAGACAAACTTGGCAGAGCAACAGAGTCCAGGAACATACCCAAGTCTACCAGAGAATTTTGCAGCAAAGTAGTATTTCAGCTCAGTGAGGAAAGAACGAAGTAAAAGATGGTGCGACAACTCACTAGCATTTTGGAACAAAATTACTTTGGGACTCTACCTTAATTCTTATCCTAAAATTCATTCCAGGTAAAATGAAGATTTAAATTTTAAAACATATGAAATCATAGAACAGATGGAGGAAATCAGAGGCTTTCTCATCATGGCATAAAATCTGAGAGATTAGTAAGTTTGACCATAAGAAAATGAAAAAGAAGTCTTTATAGTAATCAAAAAGACAGTCAAAAGACAAATGGAAAATGCTGGAGAGGGTTTGGAGAAAAAGGAACCCTCTTACACCACTGGTGGCAATGTAGTTTGGTGCAACCAGTATGGAAAACAGTATGGAGATTCCTCAAAAAACTAAAAATAGATTTACCATAGATCCAGCAATCCCACTTCTGGGTATATATCCAGAGGGAATTCTAATGCGAAAAGATACACACACCCCAATGTTCATAGCAGCACTATATACAATAGCCAAGACATGGGACCAACCTAAATGTCCATCAGCAAATGACTGGATAAAGAAGTTGTGGTATATTTATACAATAGAATACTACTCTGCCATAAAAAGAATAAATAATGCCATTTGCAGCAACATGGATGGACCTAGAGATCATCATTCTAAATGAAGTAAGCCAGAAGGAGAAAGAAAAATACCATATGATATCACTCATGTGGAATCTAAAAAAAAAGGACACTATGAACTCATCTACAAAACAGAGACAGACTCACAGACTAAGTAAACAATCTTATGGTTACCAAGGGAAGGGGGTGGGAAGGGATAAATTTGGGAGTTTGAGATTTACAAATGTTAGCCATTATATATAAAAATAAATTTAAAAAAATTTAAAAAGACAAAAGGAGCAAAATATTTTCAGCATGTTTGACAAAACTCTAATTTCCTAATATACAATATACTTAACAATCAGTTTTAGAAACAGGAACTATAAGCTGGTAGAAAAATGGACAAAATGACAGAGATAGGTATTTTCTAAACGAAGAAATACAAATGCCTAAGAAAATTATTGTTCTTAGTCGTAATTTGAGAAATGCAAATTAAAGCAATTCAATAAATGTGAATGAAATACATTTTTACCCCTTGGATTGACAAAGATGAAAAAGATTCATAATATCCCATGTTGGCTAGGGTAGGGAAAACAATGAATCTCCAACACTATTCCTAAGAGTAAGATTTCTCATAATCTTTGAGGGTATGTCAGTAATTTATCAAAATCTGAAACATCCTTACTCTTGGACCCAGCTATAATTTGCCCTACAGGCACGCTTCAGAAATGCCCCAGGACGTACTATGTTTGCAAGGGAACTTCACAGTTTGGAACAGTACAGATGGAAAGCAGAACTGTCACTCGGTAGGGTGTAGCTAAATAAATGATGATCACTTACTACAGTGGAATGCCGTGCAGTTGTTTACAAGGACAAGGGAACCATATATTTAACTACATGAAAATATATTCTTAATCTTAAATGAAAAATAAAAACATGTTTCAGAACAATATGCTAGTGTAATCCATTCACGTGAAAATAAGCATAGACGTACATGTGATTACACAGACAGGAATGTGCAGAAAATGTTTCAAAGACTACTTGCCAAACTGGCTTTCTTTTGGGGAATGGGACTACTTGCAGAGGGAAGCGTTTATATTTTACTCACTTTTTTGTCTTTTCTAGGAACTTTTTAAAAAAATGAATGAATATGAAAAAAATATATAATTTCCTTAAATTTAACTGTAAATTTCTATACTTACGTGCCCCCATTTTTTAAAAACTCTGCTTTTTAAATTATTATTCTGTGCCTCAAGTTAAAAAGCGAACAGACAAAAAAAGCCTCTTTCCACCAACTTAAAAAACTGAGGGGATTTTCTGTAGCCCCAATGACCCCTTTAGTGTTTGATCATTCTCCTGGCCATGGTCCAAACCACTTCAGTAAAGCTTCTTGAGGATCTCCTACTAAGACTGGTGAGAGACAGTGGCCCATCTGGTTGATGATCTTTAGTTATTTTTGGATATGGATCCCAGAATAGAAAATTCCGTAATTGGATTGATTGCTATAAGACAGTGTCACGATTGCAGAACACCCTTCCTTTGTTTAAACAGCAGACACTGGAGTAAATGGGAAACACCAAGCATTAGCTTTGCTTTAATTTTACATCTGGAATC